CTGATCCTCCGTGTGATGTGGTATCGGGATGGTTAGTATAATATACGTCATAGTTGTCTATCTTAATATTCTTACGGTCATTTAGGTGGGTTTCAGATATTAAACCAATGTCGATTTTGTTATGTTTTAACATTATTTCTAATTCTTTTTTATTTGGCGTTAGGCCATTGATATTCCAGGTAGCGATACGTAACGACATCATTGTGGAAGCCTACTGATGATTGTCATGATGAGGTTCATCATTGTGCTCAGTTGTGAAATGAGTTGATCGATTCTTTCAGTCTGTTTCACTATAAGTGCTTCTAGACTGAATCTATTTTCTTGCCCGAGTTCTATTTTTCTCAGGTATGTTCTTTGTGACTCATGGTCAACGTGGTTTTCTGTATTTGTTCTCTGTGAATCTATATGGTCAACTTTGTCTTTCCTGTGTATCTGTCGTTCCGTTTGGTCAGTGTTATCTCTCGTGTATGATTTTTGTGTCTCTGTATGGTATGCTACAGATTTGGTTGAATTTTTGGGAGCTTCACTATAGGGTCCCAGGGATTCTTTTACGCTTGGTAGCCGATGTTTCGGTTGGGTAGTCTTGGAGTGATTATCAGGCTCAATGACTATCACATCCATGTCATTAGGGGGCTCATTATTTTCAGAGTTCTTAGTCCGCACTTCCAGAGTGGTTCTTGATTTTAGATATGGCTGAACCTTGTTTCCAATTTTCTTTCTTGCTAGGACTTCCCTATACACCTGGCATCCTTTGTAGCTAGCAGGGTGGCTTCCTGAGCATAGTGCGCATACTGCTGGAGTGCTATCATTTATTGTGCACGTAGTAGTTTTATGTGCCCCAGCACACTTTACGCATCTGTAAGGCCTCATACAGTTATTTTTGCTGTGCCCATATTGTTGGCACCTTTTGCATTGTACCACTGTCATTTTTCTTATTGGGTCTTCTATCGTGACTTTCTGGTTGTATATGACTTTAATTTCTTTGACAAATTTATTATTTTCATGTGGAGCCACATTGACAAAAAATGTATTTAGTGGCTCTTTGGTTCCTTGTTTCCGGGCAGTAACTATTTCTCCTTGTACTTTGTTTCCAGTTTTTTCTACTGCTTCTATAATGGCATCTTTAGGTGTGCTGAAGTGAAGATGTTTAATAACAATCCTCATGCATTTTTGGTCTTTGCGTGTAAATGTGTGACCTATAAGCCCTTTACTTCTTATGTGCTCGATCAGAATCTTATATTTGTCAACCGTGTTAGACGAGATTATTAGCTGGTTTTTGGATACGATTTTATAGGTGTAATCATTCCTTTCAATAACTTCTTCGATGAGTTGGGTGAGTTTTTCAAGGTCATCAACACCATACAAAATTATTGGTGGTGGTTTAGGTGTTCTCTTGGCTGTAGCTTCTCCTAGTTCCACGTCTAACAAAGCAAAGCTGTTGTTTGTCTCTATATTCGATGAGGTATTTTGTTCAGGAGTATTTATTCCTCGGCGTTTGTTAATGATTGCCTCCCGTCGCTGTGTCTTTTTGGCGTGATGACTCCTTGAGTCTTTTTCTTCGGGAGACCGATTTCTTTTTTGATTTGGTACTCGTTGCCAGGGCACACTAGGTTTGTATGAATTTTGTTCCTGTGTAGGTGCCTGTTTAACAGGTATCATATGTTCTTGTTGGACTTGGGAGACATCACTGAGTGAAGATGAACGAGTTCTATTAAATAGTGCAGGGTGAAAAAGCTGCTGAGTCAGAATTTTTTGCTTCTTTTCTGTGGTTGATTCCGCTTGGTGTGGCAAAATTCCCCCCCCTCCAGAATACGAGGGGCCGCCTGGGTATTGCTTAGTGACGTCGTTGATTGACGAAGATTTAGGTGGTGTTCTTTGCATTATGTTCCCACGAGTAGGGTCGAATAAACAGGTCGCTTCCAGGGTGACGCCCTTTTTCCCAGAAGAAGGCACAGTACGACAACGTTTGCCAGTTTCGTTGAAGTTGGACGCTAGAGACTGAGTTATCCCATCAGCCATATACACCTCATGTAGGGGCATACACATACCTTGGCGCGTTTCCCACCGTAGTATAGGGGTAATTTATTATAGAGGTTTTCTTCCTCGCGGCCCAGGTGATAAAGTCCAGACCCCCGTTCCCCGTGAGACATGACCACAGGTTTACGGTTTGAGGTGGCTCTTTCGAGTCACACTTGTTGCTTGATCGGTTTTGAGGCGCCGATGACTCGCCTTCGCCCGTCACAGTCAGCAGTACAGACCCCGAGGAGGATGTTATTGTGTGTAACCCGTTAACAGATCTGTACAGTATCCAAGGGAGGCGACTGGGACGCCTGTGAATCGGACTTTCGGGTGCGCGCAATATAGCCAAGCCACACACTCGCAAGGCGTACGCTAGCAAACACAGCATTTTTTAAGCATGCATCCAGCATCAATGCACACCACCGTGTACTTGACACCCTTTCCCCCCCAAAATCCTTACCCAACTTGTGGGTAAATAGAAGATGGGGGGCACTCTCGTACCGTCTCGTTCAGGTCCTCACAGGCCATGGATGTTTCGGTGGATACCTTCACAGGGTTGCCAGGAGGGAGGCATCCCCCATTTGCCACGAGTGTGGTTTCGCAGACGACACAGCGCAACACACTTTAGAGGTTTGTCCGGCGTGGAGCTCTGAACGTAGCCTATTAACCGCCACCTTCGGATTGGACCTGTCGCTTCCAGTCATAGTTAAAGCTATGATGGAGGCTGACAGTGACGGCCCGTGGAACACTTTCAAAGCGTTCTGTGAAGCCGTCATTACACTTAAAGAGAATGCGGAGAGGGTTCGGGAGTGTAACCCAGACGCCGACCCTCAACGCAAAAAAAGGCCTGGAAGGAGACGTCGCGATTACGCACGTACTCCACTGGGACCTTAGGACAGGATTGGGCAACGCAGAATATGTGCTCACACAGCAGACGCTCATGACGGAGGCACGGATTAAGGGAAACTGTTACCGCGCCTACCGTCCATAGCGAACAGATGGGGCTGTTGGGTTTTAGTGGGTAGGTGTCCATTGCACCATACGGACTGACTCCCACACTCCCTGCGCCACTTTTAAATCGTTGCCCCGGCGCGGGGGTCAGTAAATTGATTTCCCAACAATAAAAAAAAAAAAATAAAAAAATATAAAAAAAAAAAAAAAAGGTTTAGACACGTTTGTTTACAAACATTTTAATTTCTTTCGCGCCTTCTTTGTTTGTGAGTTCTCTCTCAGTGGTAATAAAAGTGTATAAAATGTCCAAACCTAAATATATCATATTATCAGTATCTAACGATTGAAGCTTCTATCAGGTTATAATTGTGGAATGTCGGTATATTTTGGCGTCTATAAGTGCGTCTGTAAATGAGACAACTATAAATGTAAGCCGGTCTAATTGGAAAACTCGATACATAAAAACCTATTTAAATGATCCGCTTGGACCCCTAAGATCCACTAAGATCCCTATTATCAACATATATCTATGTTTGTCCCCTCAAATAGGACAGATTTAATGTATAATGTATATAATAGGTACATTATTGGTATTGATTACAAGAAATGTGAAATCTGAAAATGATGATTAGTGTCTATACATGGTATATAATTGTAAGTATTGCGTCGATACATGAGTTTGTTTTGATCAGTGTTTCCCAACGTGGGGCCATTTGTTTGTTAAGGGGGGCTTAATTTGTAATTTAAATTTTATAAATCTACTGTTTCCTTAACAATTTCCAAGTAATTTCTTAATTTCTAAGAAATTCAATTTTAGATATATTTCTGTATGTTCCATTTGTAAACAAATTACGAAGGTTAGGGTCATGGCACAAAATAGGTTGGGAAACAATGGTTTAGATTGTTATTAAACGGCAAACATAAGGCTATCAAGGCAACGTTGTATTATAAAATTTACATTATTAAATAGTAATAAGGACATTATTCACGAGAATTCAATGAAATAATCTTGCTACATGAAACCAAACCGGTTTTGTCAATTGTATTTTTGATTTTACGTCATTTAATATTTATAATGATTATGCTAATAGTTATTCTTTTCATTGCATGTAAACACGGAGGGCTAATTATATTCACTAAATTACAATTCAAAATAAACGCTTATGCTTGATCATTGGACACTCTTAGTATAGTGTATTTACTGTTTTTTTTCTTTGATTAAAAGTGGCGTTTGTGTTTTGGATGAGCTTATCAGCTAAACAATAATGTTACACAGAAGGATAAAGACGCAAGGAAGGAGTAGCCATTTGATGCTTTCTTCGTTCCTTGCATCTTTGTACATGGACAAAAGTTCTTAATTTTAAATTGTCAATACAATTTTTATAATTTCTATAAATTAAACAGAGCCAGAGATTTTAATTTAACAAAATATGTTTGACGTCCCAACCTGTAGTCTCAGTTCAGAAGTATTTAGTTTTTTAGCCGTTCAATTAACAGCCTAGCCTTTTAACTTAGCGGCGCCGTTTAAATAGCGGCCTGAAAGATATTCAGCCGTAGCGTTTGTTACAACATTTAATAAACTGGCTGGCTAATGCTTAGGCCATTCGTACGATAGAGTCATTATTTGGCAGAACTAAAACAGATTAAGCCTTTTGATCAACTGGCGCAACATCTTTTAGGCCACTAGTTAAACGGCGCCGTTTAGTTAAAAGGCTAGGCTGTTAATTGAACGGTTAATTAAGCTGCTGCGACATATATATAACACAAATATGGTTAATGTTTCTATTGTATTTACACTTGACGAATGCTATAGGGTCAAACATGTTAAAATCAAGAGATTTCTATTACATATTAAATAAATATTAATATGAATAAGCATTATATTTTGCTTTGTATACGTGAAGGTCAGAAACATTAAACAGAATTATAGCACAGATTAACACTAAAAATGCATTTAAGCAACATTAAGTAATCATTCAGTCCAATAGCTTTGTAGTTCAATGACGAAAATATTTTCAGATGGAATCGAGATGTACCACAAGGTGAGGCGAAAAATGTACTACATTTTGGGAGCCATTTTATTTTTAATTGGTCTGTCATTCGCTCTGCCGATAGCTTTAGACATACCTGAGTCTTCGAAAAATGATATTGATAATGATATCATTGATTTCGATGAAGAATATTCAATGAAATATAATAAACAATATGGTATTTTGCCATGGAATTCTGCTGAGTTTAATAAGGAGTCGAATAGATATGACATAGACAATGCGACGAAAGATGAAGACGAAATAAATAAAACAGAACAGATAACCACAACAGGAAAAGATGAATTAAATGTTATACCAATAGAACTAATTAGTACTACTGAAAGTTCACGAGACGAGACAACAACGGAAGACTTGACCGTAATACCTCTATCATCTACTGAAAAAAGTAGTGTTTTCTTTAATGAAACTGAAATTATAGTTGTATCAACTGAAAAGTCCGAAGATTTCAATTCCACAACAGACTTTTATGAATTGACTACAAGTGATAGGCCAGTTATAAATGATAGTTTAAGTTTAAATAATGATCCTGTAGAAATAACCACCGAATTTACATCGACCAATTTTAGTACAGAATTTATAAAAGAATCAATAACAATGACGACAAATACATCAGCTACAAATGCAGAATTAAATGATTCGAATGTATTAACAGTTGATTCCAAAACTACTCGTAGACAAACAAATTCAACTGAAACAAGTAATGCAACAATCACTGACAGAGATATAGAAAGTGCAGAAATACCGGATGTTCCCCTGTTCACAGAATTAGATACCGAAGAACAGGAAGTGCCAGAAGATTACTATGACAACAAGGATATTGTGCCAACTCCAACGCCGAAGACTGACGCACTTTCAGTAATCTTTGGATTTGCTGGTAGCGTTGTAGAAGGAGTTGTAGATAGTGTGGCGGAAAGAATTTTCCCCAAGACTTTATATGATCTGTTAAAGCGAATGCAGAAACAGAATGAAGCGCTAGAAGCAGAAAGATTAAGGAGTAGAGAGGAGAATGGTGGAATTGGTAAGTCTACGTATATTTGTTGTAATACTAGATTTTTGATTGCTTGTTTTCTTAGATGTCTGACGTTTTTAGTTTTTGGGACTTACGTAAGCACAACCTCACGATATTTCCCTTTATATAAGATAGTGTAATTTCACACATCAAACATTAATTCTATTAATTAATAACAAAAAAAATCAATAACTAACCTCAAGATATTATAAATTATATATTAGGAAAAGGAGTCCCTTTAGGCAAGGTTCCGAAGAACCTTTGCAAGAAAATCTTTGTCCCAGGTAGCTGCCAGCTCTTCGGTCTCCTGTGATGTCGACTAACCTTTTTGATATTTCCTTAAATAGCCTTATAGTGCTAGGATCCCACGGACCAAGGGTCTCGACACCGAATGGGACAAAATCATATTAAGAGCTTAGACCCCTGTATTTGCATGCCTTTATAATAATTCACTCTTTGAATGCGCTGATGATCGATTTCAGGTCAATTTACGCGGGGCGTCATTAAATCCATATCCAATGGTCTCACTAGGCCGTTGAGTCAGCTGATGGCAGGTGCGAGAGACATAGGGTCTTTGGATAGTGACCGTGGCTTCGTCAGTAGTCTTGCATCTGGTGTAACCAGCGTGGCAGATGCTGCTAATTCTATGCTTGATACGTTCAAGGATCGAGTACAAGCTATTTATCCAGGTAAATATTACTTAAGTTTTTCAAAACTTGCACAGACTATAAATGAAAGATATTTATATCAAACCTCTTTCAACTTAGGGCTTTATTTTAACATGACGCTGACTTATTACAAATTACAAAAAATTAACAAAATATACCTGAACGTGACGTTTCATCCAGTCCTAACTAACTTTTGTCACTTTTCAGGGACTCTTTGGTGCGGAGACGGCCACTCAGCCCAGGCTAGGTCCAGTGATCTGGGGCTGTTCTTCTTCACGGATACCTGCTGTAGACAGCATGATTCCTGTAAGCTATACATTCCAACTGGAGAGACCAAATTTGGATTGACTAATACTGGTCTATTTACGAGGTCAGTTGAAGATTTTTCCTATCTGTGCTTAGTCTGGTTCGTAAGAGGGAAATTCCACAACATCCTAATAGTGTAGGCACTGTTTTTTACCATTTCAATGATTCTCTATAATACTGTATGAGTGGTTGTTGTATGAAAGAATTCTTAAAGACGAACTTAATGAATACTAAATTTTTGTGCATTGATGATATCATTTGTTTAAGTAATACCAAAAAGAACGAATAAAAATTTCAGAAGTTTTTAAAAGATATTTAAATATTGATTCGAAGAATACAATTGAACATGAGAATTTATGTGACGAGTAGAAGAATAATCAGAAAAAATATGATAAGATAATGTATAAAATGTATATTGCAATTAAAAGCAACAAGTTATTCTAAAACTTACGAATTTTTTAAATTAAATATATATATAAGAAGATATTTAGAACAAAGTTGATTAAAAAAAGCAGAATTTCGAATAAAATCGCCTAACATTTACTAACAAGGTTAATGACCGCTTCCTAGTAAAAGATTGCAACTCTTTAAACCATACAATTTATTGAGCATAAAACTACATTTAAATTTGTTAATATTTTACATCACTTCTTGCATAAAGGCCATTTAACAATGCCCAAATCTCGCTTTTTAATCTAGTGTAATTTACATATGTTTGCTAAACTGACACCATATAACATTGACCCACTTATTTAACTTATACATTCAAGTTCAAAATTCTTCCACTATTTGGTATTTCCTAATACAATAGACGTTTTTAAAATCCCTCTGGTAACTGCTAACTGCTATTTAGAGGGCTGTGTGTAGCCACGTATATATAAGAATAATTCAAGTTCTTCGATGACTAACATTTATTTATTTATATAATTTTTTAAGTTCTACTTACTGACGCGAACTACATTCGCTTTTGTCTTGCTCAATAGCTAAGAAATCATTTTTTAACTCAGACTACATAACATTAAAACTATAATACGTATATTTTAATATTCATTATACATATTAATCAACAAATTTTAATCCAAGAAGATTATCATAGTGTAATGTAAAAATGACAACACCACTGTATGTTCACGTCATGATACAATTAATAATTGTATCTATTATTATTTTATTTAAAACTACCTTCATAAAGATCTAAAAGGATTCGAAATAATTATTTATGGCACAATATTCTAACGCAAGTTTCCCGACCTATGTCAAGGATAAATATATTTAATTAATTTGTTATATAATTAAGCAACACCTTGTTGTTTGCAACAGTTGCCAAAAACAAGTAAATGAATTAAATAAGATCAGTTTGGCATACTTTCACTGACGTTACATAAGATGTTATATAAGTTACAAGCGTTGCACTTCCGAATAACATTGTCAACGAGAAATGCCGGCAGATCTTTGTTTATCGTCGGTTTCTACTGTTATTTAAATATGTTTAATCTTTGAAAATGTTGCGTTATCAAGCAATATCGAAGTACCTACGCATAATTGTACTAAAATGATTTGCATAATTGTTATAAATTACGTTACATTTACAGAAATGGGTTCATAGATATTTAATCTCAAAAAAAGGTTACAATAAATTCTTGTATGAGATTACATAAAAATTTAAAAAGTATTTATGTTATACCACGAGCTCTCGCCTGTGGGCCAACCAAATATTCTCAATATATAGACAAAATATTATGCTTAAGGAGTTTTTTAAAGGTTTGTGGGCACGCTCTTTACAATATTAGCTATTATAAAACAGTGCTTCATTGTAAGTTAGTCAACCTTCTTCGACAACGCGACCAGCAAAGCCAATAATAACAGAAAATGTGTCAGTCTACGGCGTTGGAGTTGGCACAATATCTTCTTTGACATAGAAATTCTCTTCCGTATCTAATTCCAGAACATCTGTATCTTTTAACCATAGTTATTTGTCGCATCTATTCGAATAAATAGTACATATGCAAGTCAACGCAGACTATTTCAGAGTAGTAGTGAACAATATTATAGTCTATATTGATACTGTAATTCTAGGAAAGTGTTCTATTCCATAAATTATGTTCCAGATCGCACTGTAGCTGCGACGCCAAGTTCCGGGAATGCCTAAAAAAGACCAATTCGCTGGTTTCTTCCCAGATTGGACTTACTTATTTCAATGTGCTTGGCCCACAATGCTTCAGACGAGCTCATCCCATTGTTAAATGTGTGAGAAGGACCAGGTAGGAACTCTATCATACAATTAGTACCGTGTTCTGTTCCAAGCCGATAACGTTATATACAGTGTAAACTCTTTATAACACCATTCGTTATAAGTTAAATTTGTTTGGTTTAACACAAACCCCATTAATTAATTCATTCTTTAGAACTCAAGAACTATTCTCTATTACGAAGAAATATTTTCATATTTAGACATGAACAATATACTTTAGTGTAAGTATGTAATTGTTTTTATAATCAGCTTACAAAACTAACCTTTTTAGTCCCAGTTACTAAACGCACCATTGTCACCTATCGTCTTGTAATAGAATTAGAAATTATTGTAATTGATTAAATTTGGTTATGTTTTGTCTTCGCTCCGTATACCAAGAACTCTCTATAACGAAAAACAGGCATTCGTTATAAAGAATTTATGCTGTACATACCTTTTATAGGGTTAAAAAAAAAGTTTCATTTCACTTACATCATAAAGTAAAAATATATCATGTACGCTACACTTCATCAAAGCCCATTTACCAAAAAACATCACAGGAGTTTTCGGAACGGTTGCACCTTGAATTACCGGAACGCTACTGTCTACGTAATCGAAGTCGTGGACACGGCCTAATTTATAAAAAAAAGGGTGCGTGTACTTATGTACGCGCGTAAGAAGTTATACTTCTTTGGCATTATTAAAAATACTTTTTGATTGCATGCAAATAATTAATTACAATTAAATAATCAAAGACTGGAAAAGGAGTCATTATAGTCAATAAAGTTCAGTTTACATTTGAAAAATTTAATAAATAAATGTTTATTATTATTCTCTTACATTAAGTTTAACATAAATTATATTATTATTCGAATGTTGTTTTAAATTATGTCCAATGCCGTAGTATCTTCCGTGGGCAACTTCATTCTGTTAATTTTGTGACACGGTGCGCGGCGCGCGCATCGTAAAATTTCACACTCATCAATTTTTCATAACGCGCCTATTGAAGTATAACTTCAAAAACAGTGGCTTTATCGTCACTAACCTAATGGGCTCCAGATTGCATGTGTCAATTTGTAGACGAGTAGGTGATCAGCCTTCTATGACGGACATCTATCGTTCTATTGTTATGTTGGTATGCTCATTGCTCAGGATGTTAACATTACAAGCAAAATTGCAGAGAAAAATTTACAATCAGGCTTTCTTCTGTGTGTTCTGTGTCCATCTTTCGTCTCTCTAATACTGTCTTTGATTATAGATTGACCGGTCAAAAGTGTGAAGAATATGAGTTGGACTACACCAAACCCAAAATGTGGCAGTGGTTTGACAACGAGAGCTATTAAAAGATACATTTTTATATGTTTGAAAAATCAAGATAAATATATAATAATCGAGATTGATATAACCTGAAAGACAAAGGTTTTGATACAAGACATGTTATAGATTCCAAGGAACTAAATTTAAATATCAGCAGAGCCGTTAGATTCTGTTAATCTGTGAGTTCATCTCGCACTAACAACGCTCCCTTCGTCACTCACGTCATTTTTGGAATCTCATGGTATTCTGTTAAGCAATTTCACATTACGTCTTGACAAGCGGAGGGAGCTTGTAGTTTATTGTTTATCAGAATGCCAAATCGTAAAACGCTTCACGACTGATTTGAGCGCGACCGCCGCTGCGAAAACCGCTGTGAGAGTTCGAAAAGTGAGTTACAGAATCGCAAGGCTGCAGTTGCTTGGTTTGCAAGCTCTTATATCTGTGTTGCATCGTATTCGGGTACAGTGACTAGTGATAGATATTGCACAACCTTTATAATCATTTAAAAAGTTAATAGTTTGACAGCTCTATAGTTCACGCAATTAAAACTAAACAATAATGAATCTGGTTCTTAATTAAATTGTCATAAACGATAAATATAATAATTGCTGGATGTAAAATTTGTCTGTATTCGGTAATGCGATTAGCAATATATAATACTAACAACCGGATAACGTTTTTACAGTTTTAGAAGTTAAAGTGCGTATTGTTTTTGCCATTATATTGAACATAAAATAAATAAATACCAATAATAGTGGCGCTACCGTTTTAGTTCAGGCCTCAGATCTCTGTATCTGTTTCATGATCATTTGTCAATCTAATAGGCATGATCAGCCTTCTATGCTTTACACACGCCGTCGACTTTTTGAGTCTAAGAAAGCCGGTTTCCTCACGATGTTTTCCTTCACCGTTCGAGCGAATGTTAAATAAAGTCCATTGGTGCACAGCCGGGCATCGGACCTACGACCTCAGGGATGAGAGTCGCACTCAGAAGCCACTAGGCCAACACTGATCTTTCTTATATTGACCACATAAAGCTATATTTAATTCGTAATCTGGCATCACTTACACAAGACCATTAATAGTAACAGTTGTTACGCACGATAAGTTCACTAATTGAACCGATTTAAATAAATTCTTCCGGATAAATGTCCTCTGCCATATGCTTCCTTAAATCTGTTGATAACCAATCGGGTATCAAATTTCAGACATATTATTCTTGATATAATAATAATAATAAAGCGCGTTTAATTTCCAATTGACTGTCTATGGGTAACTTTCTTCATTCGCTTTCTGCTACCGCTTCCATTTCTTCTATCAACTTTTTTTTGGGCGCCCTCATCTCCTTTTTTCATACATCTTTATGCGCCCATTTAAGCGCGCAAATAAGATCAAAGTAACTCCAAAACAATTAGATCAAGATATCAAAACAGAAGTCTTGATTAGCAATTATTAATTGTTTTGGGAGGGAAGGCAGAAATTTGATCATATTTTTACGATTTATATGGTTTCACGTAACCTATGAAAAAGAATGAAAAAATACGTGTATTGAATAATGGGTCAATATGGCGGACCCATATGAATTTACGTTAACAATATTAGTATGTATTATTTTAGTCGTTTTCTGATACTGATTCGTGTACAAACTGTAATTAATAAATAAGAATTTAACTCTTACAAATAGTTTCATTTCAAACTACCTTTACGTAAATTATTCATGTTTTCGCTGTGTTAATTATAAGCGTAAAGCATTGTTGGGGCCTAACACGGTTCGTGTCTCACAAGCCAAGTCAAACCAAAACATAAAAAAATCGTAATTTTTAATCGACTGAAAAGCCTTAGCCTTTACGAACTAATTTATTATTACTGAGAGTATAGTATAGAGTATTTAGTTTCCTATAATTCGATTTTGGAACATCTGAATCTGACCTGACAATTGACATTTTGCTAGATTGCGCAAATTTTATAGATATAGCGAAATGCAAAATAAAGAATATGAAATGACGGTGAAACGAAATGTCGTAGATAATTTAATTTTTCTAACTTTAACTACTACTAAAGAGCTGTTACAGCCAGTAAGGATTGCAAGATTAGGTACTAATTAATAGTTTCATATATACCAATGGCGCTACAACCTTTTAGGTCTGGGCCTCAGATTTCTGTATCTGTCCCGTGATCATTTTTAATAGGTGATCTCAACCTTCTGTGCCTCACACGCACGGTCGACTATTTAGGTCTAAGATATTTTCCTCCACCGTACGAGCATGTATTAAATCCGCACGTAGAAAGTCACACAGTCACAAAGATGGAGCCACACGTTGAACCACTAGGCCAACACTGCTATTAATAGTTTCACCTTGTCAAATAGATGGCGTTGAATTCAACTTCGTGCTCTATGATGGTAAAAATAAAACAACATTTAATTATATATGAAAACATCAGAATATATTTCGAAATGTCACATTTAAATTACAGCGATACACTATAAAAAAGAAATTCTAAAACGAAACTGCTCAAAAACAGAGCGACTGTTCTACAGAAATTGTGCAACTATAAATTTATCAGAATTTGTATAAGATATGTTGTATCAGTTATGATGGATGTATAATATTAATATAACTATTATGGAATGAGTACAAAACTAGGCAGTTTATGTATTGACTATACATAACTTTAGATATTTGTGATAACTAATTTTAATGTTTTTTCCAATTGTATCTCCGAGCTGATTTTTCATGTCAAAAACTCTCTTGTCTTTGGTGAGTCTGCAGCTACATATAATTAACTGGTATAGTCAATGAATGAACTGCCGTACGGTTAGCGAGTCAAGCAAATTGGATTTATTGCTATTCTTGGCATAGTGGTAACCAATATTTAGCATACCGATAATGACAGGCAGATGTTGAATTACGGAATTTAGGTCTTAAAGATAAAATATTTAGACGATCGTAATTTTTTTCACAGAAAGAATTAAAAAAAAATATGTAATTTTTTTGTAAATGATTCTGTCATTATCGATATTTAAATTGTTGTTTTACAACTGCGCAATTTATTTATAATGTAAAAAATTGTAATAAATTTTATGATTAGATGATTAATTGAAAATGTTTTAGGACATTACATATAATTATGACTTAGTTCAAATTTATATTTTATCTTACCAAATTGATCAAAGCGCCATCTACAATTGGTAATTAGAACTAGATTTTGCCAATCTCAAAATTAGTATTTAAACTGATATATTTTGACAGCTCATGAAAATAGCTGATTTAAGTTATGTTCTACAAGATGGCAACTCGTTCCAGAAGGTATTCTGAGGATACCTCAGGTACTTTTGAAAATATAAATATGAACTCAGCCCGGATACAAAAGTCTAAGGTAAGCTACGCCTACGTTTAAGACAATCTATGCCCTACACTTACAGGTATTGCTTTACATGGTCCAATGGGATTACTTTAGGCTTGAACTTACGTTAGGTTCAGACTTGGGGACCTCGTTTGAAGCTTAGGAAAGCAGCAGTAGTTGGAAAAGATCCTAAAAAACTATGGTGAATTCAAATTTGTCGACGAAGAGATTTTTTATCATGATTCTTAAAAACAACATAAGCTTTGGTCTTGCCTTTGCCTATCACTGCTCTATTTACCATAACTAACGCTGATGTGACTGAGGTATTGGGAAGTACCTGCAATGCATTCTTTTATAGTCGGGTGTGATAGGATTGTCACCTCTAAGATGTCCTAATACTGTGAAATTGTCTAGAGCAGTGTTTCCCAACATTTTTTGTCCCTTTCTGAAATTCTTACAAATACTTTTAATTTTACAGAATTGGATTGTTTAATTAAGTTATCTAAATTATAGGTATGAGAAAAATGACAAGGTAATTGTTAACGAAACACAGTAAGTAAATTCTCAAAACATAATGAAAAACTGAAATTAAAATTCCAAGTAATTTTAAGTTTCGAATGGCCAACAATGGCCCCCCTTTGGGGCGTGGGCTCCGCGTTGGGAAACACTGGTAAAGAGATTAAAGTATAGTTTAAGATTATCAAACAGAAATAGCTCCGGTTTTGTGTTTCTATAGTGAATTTCGATTACTAAAGAGATATTGATGGATAGTTCTCTCAATATCCGTTACCTTGGGTGAAAGGTATACTATCAGGATCGCTATTGGGAGTTACAGAATACCGACGCTGTCATAGTTTCTTCTACCTCTGTCACATCATACAATCATTATGTTGATTAATGTTTACATTCCAATGTTAGTAGTAAATTGGATAAAAGTACGAAACTCTTTTAAACAATTTGAGTTCTTCTGAAAACCGTATTTTTAAACGTTGTTCGATTTCTAATTCTTGAACATTATTGTCTCATCCCTGAATCTCTAACCTTTGCTACAGATAGAACCCGAATTCTAAAACGTGAATAAAGCTAGAATGTAGTTTCATCTGCCAAATTTGGTTATGGAATGCTTGAAACTAGATTTAGGTTTTGGAAAACGGGTCTTCTTGGTATACTACTGCTGATGGTAGATGAGCCAGGATAGTCCAAGGGTGAAAGTGGAATTGGTGTTTAGTTTGGACCCTGGGTTTAAGCTTTTATATGATTAAGGATAAATATGCATTGATAATTCCTGATCGAATCGAATTAGGATCCATATTAAAGGACTTTTAACTGTTTCTCTAGATGCGAATGCGTAAAAAGGAGGATTTAGTAACATTGAATTCTTAAAAATATACTGTAGGAACTAAAACTTTTTTACCCCCATATGAAGTGCTATGAAATATCAAAGTACATTTATCCCACGTGACTTAACATTAAATTGTTCTTCAATAGACATTTAGATAAATTTCAATTTTCTAGCAGCTCAAAGCTATTTTAGTGTATTAAAAAAAAGTGTTAACGGTGGGAAAACACTGGTTAAAATCTCATAATAGAAGAATATTGGAAACAATATAAGCCAGACAGTATTATAATGATAATTAATTTAAACAAATACATAATCGGAATAAACTGCTAATTGTCATAAGTATTATTTTGAATTTAAAAGCAAATGTGCTTGCGTACTCAAAACATCGGTAAATAATTGTAATAATCAGGCGTTTTAATAATTATTTTACAGTTCGATACTCGCATAAATATTAGATCATTAGAGCTGCTTAGAAAAATATTAAAATACATTGACACAAATTACTTATATCTACACACATCAATCAAAGCCATTAAAATATACCTGCTATTGTATACAATTAAAATACACCTCAAGTATATTTTAATATTTTTGGTGTTATTCAATCTAGCTTCTATTACACACGCATAAAGGAATTCTATTAAAATAAGGCAAACAGGTATTTCGGAGGGATTAACAAATTCACTAATTGAGGCACTCAAAAATGTCTATTACGAGTACATCTATCCAGATGTTAATGGTGTATTTTATTACTGGTATGATACAGAATATAGCAAAACCTAATTAAGTAGAATATACAAAACCATACATGGGAATCTGCTTCCAAATTTAAAAAAGGTTGAAATAAAAAATAAAACCTGTCAACTTGACAGAGAAAGAGACAGAATTTTATTCCAATTTTAAAAATTAAAAGAGGTTTTGCTATATAATGTGTATAGGTATTAATTCAAAACATTTATACCCTTCACAAAGGCTTATAACGCCTATAACTAATTCGTTTAATTGTTTTCGTGGACCCAAAACTGGTTTAACAAAAATGAAGCTGAAGGTTTTAGCTAAGATCAAGCAATCACTATTGTATATTTGTCAAACAGTATATAGTGCCACAACCTCACTTAATCTGCCTTAACTCTGGCCATAAATTTGACATTTAGTTAGTTGTCAATGTCGCTATTCGGTTTGTAGTAAATGTAGCACTATTTTCGAAATGTTAATAAAGATCAAAAATTTGTATTAACAAAAAGAGATTATAACGACTCGTAAAATTCCATACATTAATTGTATATTATATTAAATAGGTACTATTAATACTAATTGGTGTGAATGAACATTACATTTAGGAGACACGGGGATCACATATAATTTCCATAATAATACATTTTATAAAATAGTATTTTATACTATACAGTGTAAAAATAATTGTTTCACGACAAAAAAGGGAAAAATACAAAAATTCAGTTGTATAAAATACGCAATTATTTTCACACTGCAATGAATAGTAACGCATCCACTACTCCTACTAATACTTTCAAATTCCTCTACCAAGCCTATTCATCATTGTATATCCTGTGGAATAAATTTGTTATCTATGGTGACAAATAATATAACCAAAACGAACAATTCTTGAATTTTCCAAATGGGAATTGTGAATTAGATTTTTATAAAAAGAACAGTATCACCATAGATAAGATGCCAGCCGCCATATTGAATGCATCTTTATCTTATGACTTAAGTCAACATTGCGCTACAAATGTTTGCAATTAGCATTCAAATTTATTATGTCACTCATATTTGAAGCTTAAACTGATTTACAATAAGATATCCGTTGCAAGTTGTTTTGGGCTGTTACGTATACTTACAGCTTAAACGTTTATGTAACATATAAATATATGCCAAATTATATGTGTGTGTGCGGCCAATGTGTGCCAAAGTGCGCCGACACTCTCATAGTACCAAAATTCGTAACTAGATGGCGTTGTAACCATATTTTCGTTAACTAACGATACAAAATTTAAAATTCATCTCTCACCGGCCCGTCTTCCCCCAAGAATACAGCGTGACTCCTCCTCCTGACTTATATTAAAGAAATTAAATGAAATAATTAAAAAATCTACTCTAAATAAAAATTATTGCATTTGTAAAGAAAATACAATATGGACGCTTAAGTAATTTTGGACGTTAATTAATATTTTTTAAATTAAATCACTAATTTGATGGACCTCAATGGTACTTAAAATACGGGCGATAACTGGAAACATACATTAGTACCAAAATGGAAAAACTTACTAAAAGCTGTCCATTTTAATACGAAATGTATTATGTTAATTATTATGTTTACAAAAACTACTTGTGTATAAAATTGAATATATCGTATATACTCAAATAGGGGTCAAATAGAGGTCACGCTAGGGGGCTATTTCCCTAAGAATAAGTGACAGCGCAGTCAAAGAAGGGGAAACAGGCGACGGACTCGGCAACCGAATGCTAGAGTACGTGGAGATTCTCGCATGATTTTGATTTTGAGTCGCGCGCCCATACACGACCAAGGAGACCACGGACCTTAAATAAATATAATATTAATATCTGTGGGTATAATATAATATCAATAAAGATAATATAAATATAGAGCAGAGACTTTATTATTGGGATGAGGGTGTCGCAGCCAACTAGCTTAATTAGCCGTTCAATTAACAGCCTAGACGTTTAACTAGCGGCCTGAAAGATGTTCAGGCAGTTGATTAAACAGCTAGGCAAATTACTTGCATCAATGACGTTTCATTACTTGCCTAGCCTATTGACTGTTAATTTAAATTTAATTCCACTTTCTGCTACACTCAAACTCGAAACTCGATACGAAACTCTTCAAACTGTCAATATGTCGTCGGCAAATCACAACATTGACGGTGTTTTCCCAATTTTTTATGAAAAACAACTAGTAGTGAAAATAATAATGTGAATTTATTTATTTATTTATTTATTTATTCCATATCCTTATTCTATCTTTACAGTACCTTATTACTTATTCGATAGAACGACACAATATTTACACCCACACCAATTAACCTAGATAAAAAACATTAAGAAATATATATATATACCTAAATCTTATAACTAATAATATAGTAATATAATATTTGACTTCAGCAATTTAATTTTAAAAGAAATATTTTTATGTCATATGTTTTATTTATTTCTGCCAAATAATGACTCTATCGTACGAATGGCCTAAGCACTAGCCAGCCAGTTAATTAAATGTTGTACACAAACGCTGCGGCTGAATATCTTTCAGGCCGTTAGTTAAACGGCGCCGTTTAGTTAAAAGGCTAGGCTGCTAACTGAACGGCTAATTAAGCTAGTTCGCTGCGACAAGGGCATAAAGACGTCACGATTACTCAATAATTTATTGATGTTTGATTTTAAAAGCCTAATAAGATTTGTCGCGTTACCTTAACACTAGCAGAGAGGCGAGTTCGTTTCCGTGGCGTGCTGGAAGCGGACGAGGGAGCAGCGGCGGGGGCAGCAACATCTTCAAGAGGGGAGCGAGCGCGGCTCCTATTCTTGCGGGAACTGCTTCGCTTTCTGAAAGTATAATTTTATCTATCTCTATAGCCTCTTTGTCTTATGTCTTCATCTCCCATGAACGATATACGTTCTTTATAGCAAAAATATTCAGGGTATTGGTTCAAAGCAAAGTATTTTTGCAATCTTTAAGTTTCGTTACGGCTTTTTCAGTGACAAAGAAATCTTTTAGTTCATAAAACTTAACATTAAAGAATGTCATCTTTTAAACGATGTACAAAATGACACGAGAGTGTGTGTTGAAATGATTAAAGTAAAACAGTGGCGCTACAAAATTATTAGGTTTGTTCCTTAGATTTTTGTATCTGTTTCATGATAATTTGTCAATTTAATAGGCAAGTAGGTTATCAGCATACTGTGCCTGATACACGCCGTCGACTTTTTGGGTCTAAGGCAAGCCGGTTTCCTCACGATGTTTTCCTTCACCGTTAAAGCGAATATTAAATGCACACATAGACAGTAAATCCATCGGTGACAGGGGATCCAACCTACGACCTCATGGATGAGAGTCGCACGCTGAAGCCACTAGGCCAAAACTGCTTTTTTCCTTGAAATGATTACTTAAAAACTGCCTCGTACCTGACACGTTCAGCGTGTTGCTGTTTCAAACGGATCTGAGTGAGCAGACCCACCAGTAACTCGTCCACATTGTGGTTGATGCCCACAGATGTCTCTATGAACTTGCACTCGTATGACGTAGCTAGAGTTTTGCCCTCTGAAACATTTTAAAGACAGATACAGCTCTCGTTCTGTTACTTGTATGGATTAATACGTCAGGGTGTTAGAAAAATGTCAATAGTCTGGACTTCGTAGTGTTGTCAAATAAAATAAAATATGTCTCTATTGCATTTAATTTGACAACACTCTCTCTCTATCACAGAGCATAGTTATTACGTAAGCAGATTTATTGCAATTTATCCCCCCCTTCCTCTTGTCAGCAAAAGTAAGCAAAGCTCTCAAAAATTGTGGTGATTTACATAAACGTTTTAATTTTTGTAGGAATCCTCGAAAATGCATTTCGTTTTCAAGCATAGAGAATGTGTGGGAATTATGTGTAAAAAAGTAAATAATCACCAAATAAGAAAATCAAAAACATACACCCAAATAGTGCTTACGTAATACTGGAACGGCCCCATATACTAGATAAAGCTAGATTTATCACGTTTAATTCATTCATTGAATTGCTTTTTATTTCGGGGATTTTTATATATACCGTCAAAAACCCTAACCCGGTGAGGGTTTCCGTATAGACTTTAAAATCAAGGAGAAAATAAATCTGGCAGGTACATACAGACAGTAAACTGAGCTGACAGTACAGTACAGTACCACTGAAGATTTGAAAAAAAATTTCAACGGCCCGCCTAAATGGTGATATTCGTGTGGAAGTTTTAGCCCAAAAACCCAAAAACAAGATGGCCGCCATACTTGGGTAGTATCGCGTGTGTGTGGCTGAAATTGGCGTCTTCTATTTAGTCTGTTGATTTGTTTTGTAAATCATATACCCTTCTGATTTTCAAGAAAATATACCACTTCTTAAAAGGCCAGCAACGAATTCGCGAGCTCCTTGGAATTGACTGTACTACTACACTTATATAACAAAGAAATGTTTGTTAATGTGTGAGTCTGTGTATAGTCTATCTTTGAGCGTCGTGGCAGTCTTCCGAAGCTATTTGCCATCTCCATCGCCAGTCTTATTGGTGAATTAACAGAAAAATAGTACAGTAGAACCTCGATAACTTAAACCTCGGTAACATAAAAACCTCTGTTACTTCAAAAAATACTATGTTCCCTTCCCATCAGAGCCCAAAACCTCTATAACTTAAAATACGCAACCTCTATAACTTAAATAAATAATCTCTGTAGGCCCTCAGTAACTAAAAGAAATGTTTCCACAACCTCTATAACATAAAATTGTTTGTGAATGAGTCATTTTGAAAGAGTGTCAAAATAAATGGTTTCGGTATTTATTGCTTGCACGTGTTTACTAATGTATTGTTAACGTAAACAATACATTACCTATTGTTTGCTTTATCTAAATTCTTTAAAGCTTTGCGGCGGTTAGCTTTGTGACAACGACTTACTTGCATCATAAGTTTTTGATCGTTGTCCTGGAAGTAATGTGAATAAATATGATTACATATTTAATTTTCAGTATTTTATTGAACCCATCCTTCTGATGCATTCGAGTAAAAATGGGAGCAAGGGTACATAGAAACATATACATACCTCTATATTAACCTTTACCTAACATAGAACCTTGATAACTTAAAACCTCTATAACTTAAAATATTTTGTGTTTCCCTTGGACTTTAGCTTATCGAGGTTCTACTGTATTTCCATTAGAGTTGTAGTGTTTCCTTATATCGTCGCTGTAGAATGATAGCTTCGTATGTCCAGAGAACTAATCATTACAGGAAACTAATAAAATGAAAAAATTCCTTTCGTCAATCTTCGTTAAAATATTATTGTGTTTTTGGCCATAGTTTTAGATGGTAAAAAGGACTTTTTTAATAAAAATATAAATAAGTCCTTACTTCATGATTATATCAGTTAAATGACATAAGAGTCTAGGAATAAAAATAAATGATTTTTTACATACGAGGTTATCATTCTACAGTGACGATATTTCAATTTGTACTATAATATATTTATGCCAAGAACATTCTGTCTATGAGCTGGTCAGCGGAAACTAACAAATGGAAATGCTAATAATAGCTGCATAATAATATTTTTTTCTAATATCGTCAAGAGGGTGATTGTATTAGACATCCAAGCCTTTATAAAAGCTAATCAAGGACAGTTCTTTGATTTACAATTCAAATTGTTTTCCAAAAATAACTTCGCAATTTAGGATTTTGCATTGAGATCGGTCGCAATGGAATTTGTAAAGTCAAGATATTATTTAAAATTGTCTTTCGTTTCTATTCCTGGATTATTTTCGTGGATAAAGATTATTACCGTTGTTGTCATGGTAATATAGTTTATAAATCTCCTTAATTCCTATTTTTACAGTAACTTAATACTAATACAATAGAAATCTTCTAATATATTAAATTATCGTGTCACAATGTTCGTTCCCATACTTCTCCGAAACGGCTCGACCCATTCTTATGAAATGTTTTATGCTTATTCAGTAAGTCTGCGAATCAGCTACTATCTTTCAAACCCTTAAGTATAAGGGGGACCACCCCAAAATTTATTTTTTTATATTTTAGAATTATTTTTTTGTTTTTATTTTTTTATGAGGGGTATGTATGCTGTATACATACACCCCTAATTTTCACCCCTCTACGATCAACCCCTAATTTTTATGTGTTAGTTAAGAACTTATAACTTGAACTCTGAGGTTTATATCGAGAAAAATCACAGAAAAACCTATTTTCATTCCGGAAAACCGAAGAATCTCTGGGGTAGCATATCAAAATGTTCCATGTTGGTATGTACTAAAATGATAGGCTAGGCATTAAGGAGAAACAAAGTTCGCGGGGGCAGCTAGTCTATAATATAAAATTAAACTAAGAAATAAAAAAATGTATTATATTGTATAAATACCGAGGGTAGGACGTAAGGAGACATTGATACATGGTTTATCGTGAGCATTTCCACACGGACGAAATCATGGGAAGCGGTTAGTAAGCAATAAAGTGTCAGAATTGTTTTGTGTAAAAGGAGGTTTCGCCATTAAAACCTTTCATAAACTTTGTAATTATTTTGTAATAATGGGCTCTTATAACTTCGTCCGTCCATTAAGAAATTAGTTGTAAATTTAATTTTGTTCCTTTTTTTCAGTGTTATTTTTTCGTATTTTAGACACTGACAGTTGTAATACGCTTCTACGATATTTGTCAATTTATGCCGGGTTCCCGGGCATTTGTGCGTCCTCACGATGTTTTCTTGTAACACATGTAGTAGTTGGAGGAAAATGTATATTCGAAAGTGTTAATCTAACGCTATTATTATCAGAGTTTTTTTATGTAATAGGAGGCAAACGAGCAGGAAGCTCAACTGATGTTAAGTGATACCCATGGACACTAAAATTGCAAGAAAGCTCGCAAGTTCATTGCCGGCCTTTCAAGAATTGGTGCGCTCTTTTCTTGAAGGACCCTAAGTCGAATTGGTTCGCAAATACTTCAGTTGGCAGCTGGTTCCACATAGTGGTGGTGCGCGGCAAAAACTGCCTCAAAAAACGCTCATCGCTCGACATCGAGGTGATACGGATGGTATTTTGTATTCTGTCTTGACGTACGATAGTTAAACTCAGCTGCAGGTATTAGTCCGAACAACTCCTCTGAACACTCTCCATGGTAAATCCGGTAGAAGATGCAGAGAGACCCAACATCTCTACGCAACGCCAAGGGATCAATTTACAACTTTTTATTACAAAACTCTATCTATCAATGTGAAACAAGATACGGAAGGAATAAATCTCATTTTCATAGAAAACTTTAACAATGGTGCATTTCTATGTGATTTTGTGACGTAATAGCTTTCTGTCTGATCATGTCTTCGAGCTACGGATTTCCCTTAAGATGTTTTCCTTCACCGTACGAGAGAGTGTTAAATGAGTACTTAGACGGAAAGCCCTTCCAGTTTCATTGGTGAACAGTTGGGATTCGTACCTCAGGGGTGAGAGTTGCATGCTAAAGCCAACACTGATGCTTCTGATTTTTATGGAACAATAAATATGCGCAATTTATTATGGAATTAATTATAAATGTAATGCGAAACCAGTGAATGAGCAATTAATTGATGACACGTAACTAAACGAAATAATTCATTACATTTTGTTAAATTTGATCGGCATTTTAATTAATTATTTAAGCTCAAACGGCTTAATTTGTTTTTGGGTATTCAGCAAACATTTATGTTTAAAATGTGTATACATACAAGTAAATTGAGAAAAGCAAAATTTTTATCTGATCTCGCCATAACTTATCATGCTTAAAAGCCTCTTTGGTAGTAGATTAGAAAACATAGTGGCGTTGTATACGGCTATGTATTAATTTTTTTCTGCCTTGATTCACAATGATTCTAGGTGTTTGGTCCAGTAATGCATTCTATTTCACTGTGTCTTGCTGAAACGGTTCGGTTCTCTTATTTATGTATTATTTGATTACAATAATTAACTGCTTTAACATGTGACGAGGAGTAAAAAGTTATAGTATTATTAAGTCTCATTAAGATTCTTTGGCATTCTTTGCATTTTTCGAACATCAAAAAAATCTCCTAAAACTAAAATGAAATGAAACATTTTATACATAAATAGGGCCACCAGTGTTCTAATTATTTGTCCTTATTATTAGTATAAATATCTATAAAAGCTTACCGTCCGTGGGCACAGCCCGCGAGCGCGCCAGGTCCGCCTTATTCCCGACTAGTATCACAGCCCGGCGTGCCGTATGTCCCGCCGCCCATAACACCTGAAGACGCCGTTCCGCTTCAGCAAAGCTAGCTCGATCCGCAGTCGAATAGACTACGCAGTAGCCATGTGCGCAGCCCTCAGACTGAAAAAACACATCTTTATATTTCTTTAATGGAGCCTTCGCTGTCTGCCATACGCCGAAGATTTCTGGGTCTAAGGAGGCGCGGATTTATCGTAAAAGGGAAAATCCATTGGTGAACAGCCAGGGCTTTATTTTTTATGGAACAGGAGGCAAACGGGCAGGAGGCTCACCTGATGTTAAGTGATACTGCCGCCCATGGTCACTCACATTACCAGAAGGCTCGCAAGTTTGTTGACGGCCTTTCAAGAAGTGGTACACTCTTTCCTTGAAGGACCCTAAGTCGAATTGATTCGGAAATGAGGCCAACACTGGTTATACATATAATTAAGGATGATTTTCATATATTTTCATTTTCATTTCCGTGGGAAACTCGGTCAACTAACCTCATATGTGACTCTTTCAACTCGCTCTCTCCGCTACGCTCGTCTCCGCTTTGGTGGAAGCACATGTACGAAAATCATCGTTACGAGTATAGCGGAGTCCGCAATGGGTCCGTTCCGCTCGCAGTGGAAGGCGGGCAATATTGTTTCCAAAATCTTCTTGAGATTTATATCAAGGTAAATAAATTGTTGTTATCAAACTTACAATAAGATTGTCTGGTGGTGAGTCCAAGAATGTGATCTCCGACTCTTCTCCCGCTAGTAGCACACATACTGACTTCTCGCCTGACTCGTCATCTGTAGCCAAGTATTTATACATATATATCCATAATTTATATGTTTCTTAGAACATGATTAAATTAAATTTAATAGAATATAATTAAATATACTTTATGATGCAGCGGCGTGACTGCTAATAGGTAAACTATTCTAGCCAACCTTTGGGATTTCTTTGCTTTTTTGCCTTGTTCACCAAGTAATAAGTTTGTTAAAAGTTCTTGAGTTCAATTCTTGGGGAAAAAAAATCACTTTGTTTAAATTAGCATAGAATATACACACTTCTATAGTATTTTAATTTCATCTACCGCTATAGTAAGAAACAATTAAAAAATGAAACAATAATTTGTACAAAAAGATCGAGAACATTGACAAACATGGGTTTCAGTTCTATTTAAATCGGTAAAATTCCTTAATTGGTTAAAAACTGGTTTGTTTATATGAGTATATTTGAATGGTTATTATATATATATTAGTTTAAATTGGTTTGGGTTAATTGTTAAGGCGTTTCTTCTCAATTATGGCCACAAACTCTACTGGCTATCGGAGTATTATAGCTCAAACACTGTTTGATCTTTGAGTGAAGGATCGCGTAGCCATGGTAACAGGCCCTTTCCTCAACGTGTTCCAAATTCAAACGTTATTAATTTGCTTTAGGCGGACGTTCTCTGAAGTGAGCACTGAGGGGCGAAATGCTGCGAAAATTGACTAAATTAAAAACATTTTGTCTTCTCGATTTCGTTGGGTTTTGTAAATTGTTTACGGTTCATTAAATTGCGTAACATCTTGGTACTTAGGGTAAGATACAGAGCCGGGACTTAGCGCTAAACATGACTGAAGCCAGCCAGCCAACGTAAACTTAGATTAGAAACTCTGTTTAAATCACAATAAGTATTTTTTGTAAACTTCCGGAATATCGCATTTTGCTGCAATAAAAGGTGTTAGAATGTCAACACTCCAATAGACTCCAATCATATCAAATCGTTATTTGTCTCGATGTGGCAGTGTTTCACCTTTGCTAAAGCACTAAATGCCGATTTATTCCAGTAATTAATTTAATTTAAGAAGTAATATTTAAATACTAGATTGAACACTGTATTTTATATTCCTAGTCTTTCCCATTTGACACACTACAATTACTATCCTTTAATGTACCCAACATTATTTGTCTTAGGGATGGTGGGGTACAATAAATTGGAAACCAGACGGGACTCACACGTACTGAAAGTCTTGAGGGGTGTTGTGTGCAACCCAAGTGTAGTCCAAGAACTGGGTTTCTTAGTTCCTATGGGATTTGTGCGACGGCGAAGGCCTAGGTCATTTGCGATACCAAGGGCAAAAACCAGTCTGTTGCACAGATCCCCGTTATCAAAGACGTTGTGCCTACTGAATGCTGTCTCCGACACTGTCGACATATTTATATGATCGCAAAGTGAATTCACAGTAGCGATATTGTGTATATTATGTGTTTAATATTATATATGCACTTTATTATATTTTATTAATGTTTCTCGACATTATCGCATTGGCATAGTCTGTAAGGATAATGTATGTATTTCTGTCATAAATAAATAATTATATAATTGAACTAGTGTTGCACAATAAGAATACTTTTCCATTTCAGCATTATACAGGTTTAGATGTTGTTGAAGATTATTCGTGAAAATTTAGTTTTTAAGAAAGTTTTAACTTTATTATCGTACAGATATGGCCAAAACTTTTATATTCATTCATGTATTTTATGTGTTGCAATAACTAACCTATACTAGTGTCGTAGGCGTGTAAATACTCCGAGGTCATGAACTGTCCCACAAGGCTTGATTTTCCTACGCCCGGCCCGCCCACCACCACCACTCGATATGAACTGAGACCAGCAGACGAGTCCCTGTTTACAATACAATTGTATAAACACAATTTATTAAGGTACATTATATTGATTAATATTCTATGGAATAACGAGTTTAAGCTAGATTTAAAAGTATCACAGCATAATGTCTTACGGCATTTTACTGTGGGGTCGGGCTGCTGACATAGAATCCATTTTTATTTTGCAAAAGAGAGCTGTCAGAGCCATTAATAATCTACGTCGTTGCGAATCTCTCAGGGAACTATTTAAAAATATTAATATTATGACAGTACCTTGCCAATTCATTTATGAAAATATTATGTATGTAAGAAAGAATCTACATGTTTTTAGTAAAATAAATGAAAGACATAATTTTAGTACTAGAAATAAAGATAAAATAGCTCAACCATCTTTCAGATTAGCCAAAGTTCAAAATTCATTTATGGGGTACTGTGTGAAATGTTACAATAAAATACCTTGTGACATTTTAAAACTAAATGAACGAAAATTTATATGTTTTATTAAAAGTACACTTTGTAAACAAGCATATTACAAATTATTTGATTATATTCAAGATAAGAATGCTTGGAAAAATGCTGGTCCTGCTCCATAGGACAATCATAGAGCCTGGACAAAATGGTTGCTGATTTTTGTTTTAACATATTTTTTTAAAATTTATAATGCTACAAATGTAATTATTTTATTTTATCTCACACACTGTTTTGTTGTGTTTTTTTAAATATTTTTATTACTCTTTAATGTTAATATTCTACGGTTTCGATATTTGTAAATATGTGAGGAACATGTATACTAACTTTTTTAGTATAGTAGTTTATTCTAAGAGTACATTGTCTTCACATATAATTATTTAACAAATGTAACAAAATAATGAAAACCTATTTTAAAAGAGGAAATGTGGAGTTTCTTGCCCATTCTTCTCCACACGAAACTACCTTTTGGAAGGGGCAACTAGAATCTTCTTTGTATTTTTTTTGACGTTCAAAAGGTGCCAGTTTAGATGGTCTAATTGAAATAAATGATTTGACTTTGACTATCAAGATGACAGTTAGTAAGTATATTCGACTTTCTTATACTCGTAGATGGTAAAAAATGTATGATAAAAAATATTATCTAATAAAATATAACGCTATTAAAAAAAAATTGTGGCGCTGAAACCTCTTTAGGTCTGGGCCTTAGATTTTTGAATCTGTTACATGATCATTTTCAATCTAATAGGCAAGAAGGTGATCAGCCTTCTGTGCCTGACACACGCCGTCGAATTTTTGGGTCTAAGACATGTTGGTTTCCTCACGATGTTTTCCTTCACCGTTCGAGCGAATGCTTAATGCGCACATAGAAAGAATGTCCATTGGTGCACAACCGGGGATCGAAACTACGATGCTATTTGAAGGTTAGGTTAAAAAATTACTGTAGCTTTGTAGGGCACATAATTAATTAAGAGTTCTTGAATTCAATTTTTGCGAAAACAAAATTTATAATCTCTCAGCTTATATGGATCTTGTGAGCTTGTGTGCAGCTTATTTACCATAATGGTAGTTTAATAAAAAATAAAACAAATAATATTATGTTGGACGCAGGATTTTTTTGTATTCTTGATTTAAACCTAGTTATTTTTAACCTGGAAGATGCCAGCGAACAAGGAGCAGAAGCTCTGGTTACAGCTTCCGTACTGGAGGCGCTGGATGCTACCGATGTGTTCGACCTGGACCTTCTGGATCGCAGAGAGTCTCCACGATTCACCACTCCCTTACCTGCGAATTTATTTCGTCCTATTGTAATGACATTACACAATACTAATAATTTTTATTAATCAGACAAATACAGTCCATCGATTGATTAGTGAGTTAGTAACAATAGTTTCTTAAGATCTATGTTAGAGAATTAGGTAATAAAAACTATCAGGTACAAAGCCCTGCGGAGATGTCGGAGCAGTGTCGTAAATAGGGGCACTCCATTCTTTCGACTATCATCCGTAAGATGTTGCTGGAGCCGCCCCGCACCCGGCGCACCAAAGAAGCGCACCGCTTTCGCATAGTGGCGAAAAAGCAATCCACCCGCGCCTCTGCAAACATTCTTGATGCACTGCAGAAGCGAGGCAGCCCCAACAACATCCTAAATGCGTTATTATACTGCACCCGAAGCGAGTTGTATGTTTGTCGAGTAAAACTGGCCCATAGGCTGCACGTGTAGAAGTTAGTGCAATATGCTCTGAATAATGTGACTTTTACGTCATGAGAACAACGTACAAACCTACGAGCCAGCATATTTGCTCTCACCGACAACGCTCTTCGTTCTCTCTCTATATCGCCATTATCTTTGAGGTCGGGGAGTAGGACGTGCCCAAGGTATTTAAACTTACTAACTCGCTGTAAAACACAGTTGTTAATAGTAACCGTCGGCACATTTTGTAGTCTCCTCCTCCCTGACTCAAACACCATCACTTGGCTTTTCTTGGCATTATACATAAGACCATGGGATGCAGCATATTTTTCACAAATAGCTAATAATTTTCTTAACCCGCAGACAGAAGCGCTAAGCAGCACCATGTCATCAGCATAGCTTAAATTGTTAAGGTTAACGCCATCTACGTTACAGCCAATTCTGGTGCCGGTTAACTCCTCTATCAGCTCATTTACATACAAGTTAAAAAGTATGGGAGAAGTCAACCCACCTTGCCTCAACCCACACTCCATCCTATACGGATCTGACAGGACACCCTCCCAACGCACACTATTGACCTGACTTTTGTACCAATATTTAAGAATATTTATGGTATCCTGTGGTAAATGGATTTTTTCAAGTTTTTTCCACAGCAGATCATAGGAAACAAGGTCAAATGCCCTGGACAAATCCAAAAAACATGCGAAGACAGGCGTCTTACGCTTAACATAATAGTTAATAGTATGCTTAAGACTCAAAATAGCACCATCTGTGGACAGCCCAGGTTTAAAACCAAATTGGTTATCGTGTGGCTTTATATATTTACTTAATTGAGTGTTAAGCACACCATCAAACACTTTTGATATAATGGTTGCCAGAGATATAGGCCTGTAGTTATGAATATCGGCGAGATCGCCTGTCCTATTTTTAACTATTGGAACTACAATACTACTTATCATATCTCTAGGCATGTAACTATGCGCTATACAAGCATTAAATAGAAGAAATAGAACGCGAGGCAAGTGTGGGCCTGCAAACTTTAGATGCTCGATGCTGAGACCGTCGTGCCCCGGTGACTTACCTCTAACCATAGACTTTATAGTGCTATCTATTTCTTTAATAGAAGGTTTCAAACTTATGCCACCTTTACACTGGGTCACAGCATCTAGCCTCGACTGTGAGGGCCCAATCGGCGATTTAACTGTAAAGTAATTAGCAAATAGATCACCAATTTCCTTGGGCTCACACACTCCGTTGACACTCACAGGGAGGCCCGACTTATCTTTTAATCTATTAGTACATTTCCAAAAAGACCGAAAATCATTCTTAGCGTGATGAGCAGCCAAAATATCCATTTTTATTTGGTCTTCGTTATTTTGGCACCATCTCAAGCGTGACTTAAAAATTTTACGACTCAAAATCATTTCTTCATATAACTTTCCTTGTAAAGGCTTACCGTGCTCTAACCATAGGCCAAATTTTTGCCTGGCCTCTCTGTGATGCCCTTGTACATGCTTATTCCAACCTACAATCGGTTTTTCTTTTTTTGTACTGACTTACAAGTTTTAACAGAAGATGCCGAAAGGGCCAGAATAATATTGTCATATAGCTTATTAATTACTTTTCTATGACTAAGATTACTACATAGCTTATCACTACAATAACGAAATTCAGGAGGAAAGTCAATTTGTCTCAACCTGTCATGACATTCTCTCTGATACATTAATATTTGTTCATGTGTTCTTTCCCCCCAAACCACTGCATTATTATAGTTATTTAAATGTATTCGTTTTCTAACAACCATATCTAAATTACACTCAATAACCAGCGGCATGTGATCTGACCAAAAAACATCATACATGACATACACATTTTGAATAGTCTTCGCCGCGGCTTTAGTTACTAAACAATGATCAAGCCACCGCCGTGACCCGTTAGCATCACTTACAAACGTGTACGTATCAGAAGTGACACCTAAGCATTCAATATCAAAGCAACACCATTCTTGCTCTCTTACAAAATTATCCATTTCATGATAAAAACGTTCATATGGATGAGCATTAAAGTCCCCTAAAATGTATGTATTTTCTATCGCACAACTGTCTATTATAGCACTTACCGAGCTAAGGACATCCGTAAACTCGGCTACATTTACCGCCTCGTCCGTGGGCATATACACACTTAGCACTAGGAATGGCTTATCATTTGAGATCACTTTAATCGCACACACACGCGGGTTATGACACTCAATCACTGAGACATTTTGAAAGATGCTCTTTCTCCAGAGCAGGGCAACACCTCCGTATGGCCGACCTCTTAGTAAGCCAGCCTCCGCATCCATTGACGATACCCCCGTGCCACTGAATTCTTGACTTATGGTACTAAGAAGTGGCATCTCCTCCGAGAATAACCATGTTTCTTGCAATGCTATAATATCGACAACTTTACACATATTACGTAAGTCATCGATGGACCGTTTTACGTTCTTACAATTGAAAGAAGCAAATTTATACGTTGGTTCCAGGTTCATAATATTAACGTATGGAAATCGTGCTGCCTTCCTTCATAGACATTTCAAACTTACGCTTTATTTTGAAGTGAATAAAGCGACGGAAAATGATGCCTTCTGGCCACATTCCATGATCCAAATAAACTGAAAGTTTTTTCTGTGAGACAAAGAATTTAAAAGCATTGTAGTCGCAAGTGCGCTTTATGGAGATCTTTTCTAAGCTGACAGTGTCTCCAGTTTTTTCCTTAATATAATTTATTATGTCCGACACATTTGTACTTTTGTGGACATTCGTTATGAATAGAGGTGTTTTTCTTTCTGCAGCTCTAAACAATTCCTCCGAATTCACTGCCAGCGTACCCGTCTTTCCCTCCATTCGATTTCTATTAGGTTTTCTCCTTCTTTGCACAACTTTCCATTCTGAGTTGATGGAATTAGCGACAGCGGAGTAAGTCTTCTTATTTTCATTGTCGTTAATAGTTTGTTGACGGTCTGCACTTAGTGAGTCATCACTACTTTGCGCCAAACCGGTTTCATTCACTCGAGGCGATAGATTCACTTGAGGCGATAAATTTCTAGCAGAGTTATTACCCGGACTAGAATAATCATCATCATTATGCGCATTCCTATTGTTACCGAATGCACCCCTCTTCGTATTAACATTATTATTATAAGTACAGGGTGAGGGTACCGTAGTATTTTGTTTATTACTGCACAATGTTCTAAAGTTTTCAAACTGCTCAGTCGTGACATACGATGACTTGATAAATGCGATATCAGCCTGTACCCTGGACAAATCTTTCAATAGCTTTGAGACATCCAGGTGGTCGAAAGTTAATGGCGGTAGTTTATCCAGGTCGCGGGCCACAAAAATAGGCAAAACATCAGGGTCAGTAATTTTAATAAAACTGAGCATATCGTATAACAAACGATCTTTTTCCTTTCCTTTTCCTCTTCTTCCCGTTTTTCTCACTTCGGCCGGTACCGATTCAAACAATAACGAATGCGAATTTTGAATTTGTTCCTTTGTGAATGTCGATGCACATATTTTTACTAATGTCACCTCATCCGATATCGATATTTTATTCTGTATATATGACAGAAGCTCATCGATTACAATATTGCAATTATTGCACTTAATTAAGGACGCCATCTTGCAGGGAATGCGCTCCCGCAACAAATCGCGCGTACGTTTCGTATCAATGCGCGCGCAAGACTGTAATGACATTACACAATACTAAATAAAGGCTGAATATTTCACATAAAAATACAAACTTGAAGTTTCTAAGTAGCAGTGTGTAATATGTTATATGTGTTCTCTTATGTGCATTGAAGTCATTGAAAAGGTTCCGATTTATGGTACAAAAGGAAGTTAGGATGTGGAGTAGCAAGAAAAAACAATTATATAACAAATTAAAACTGTATGTATTATTCAACAATTGTAAAGATATAGGAAATTGTTTTTTGTATAATTAATGCTAAAAGTATAAAGGATAGTAAGAAATAAACCGGCTTTATTGTAATGAATCAACTCGAAAATACTGTTTAAGATACATATAATATATATATTATATCTTAAAATCTTTTTAACGACAAAACATCTAAATGTTCAATCTATATAATATATTAATTTTGAGTGACAAAAAACAACTTAAACTTAGACTGTAGAATAGAATTGCTAAATTAAAAAAGAAGTTAAAAACGGATTAATAAGTTCACCAGTAAGCAAACCGAACCCACAACCTGATATAAAAATTACTGCCCAATAATATCTCGTGATAACATGCCTCCACTATTTTAGCCTCGACTTGGTTAAGCGGAATATGTTTAAAAAGAGTATTAAGATTATCCATAGCGCTAAATCACCTGCATCATGAGCATACCCCACATGGTGTGTATGTTCACATAGATTATGTCACTTTTACAACATCACACCACACGCCGTATTTGGTATTACATAGTTAAATTAAGTAATTAATAATTTTTATTTATTTTTTCCTTTCGTAAATGTTTAAACCTTTTTGTATATATTATGTATTATTCTAAAACTTTAGTATAATTGTTTTTTCTTATATATTTACTTTACTTATTACTTTACTACTACTACTACCTACTTCTATATGAGCTGTAGGATTACGAAATAAATAAAAGATTTAAAAACTATTTCTACAATAAACGTTAAACGTTAAGAGTATCCATTCTTAATTAACGAGTTACCTGTAATACTAAAATGTCGTAACCGATAGTATTCCTCTTCGACACCAGTGTTTGGCATAGATGCAACCCTGGCCCTCTGTTGTGGCAGCCCAAGGAGTTGTCTTTCGCCAGTGCGTGACCTGGCTGCTTTGACTGACTGGGATCTTGAGTGGTGTGGACTGCCATACCTAAGGAAAATTACTAATTAAAATTTTGATACAACGCCGTTCCAATGGTGTACTGGTGTAGACATGGAAAAATTAATCTGCAATTGTATAGGAAAAACACAATTGTATGGCAATCAAGGTTTATATTAATTTACCAAAAACATTAAAAGATCTTTCTACTAGAGTTTTTTACAAGGTTGTAGTGATACTCTGGTAAACTTTGTTTCTTCTACATATACTTGTGTCAAAAGTTAATAGAACATTATAAACAGACCAAGTGACAATTAATTTAAAAAAATATGATTTATGATTTAAGAAATACAAGAATAAATTTCTGAAACACACTCGTCGTGCGGCTATTGAATAGAGTGGACGTGTGCTCAATTTTATTAGAAAAATAGTTAACTGTGATTTGCTAAAGTGATCCTTATATCGTTGTGACAGAGTGGTTTTACGTCTGGCAAACCCTGTAAGTTATAAGCCCTTTAGTGTCGTACACCCAACACGTAAATGACGCACTGCGCGTGATTGTGCTCAGCCGTGTAAGCAGGACAACTAAATTTCTACACCATCTCACCATTCATACAGTGAATACAACGTGCATTAGTGGGACTGAAATATCACTATCATTGCGGTCGACTACGCTGATACCTCTGTACTTTGTTATCGCATAATACTTTGCCACATAATTGTTTACCGGCGATACTCAAACCAGCTGTTTCATTAAGTGATATGAAATAATTAAGTTCGTACATCTACATAAATTGCATATAAACACCAAACTGCATAAATAAGACTTTAAAACATATTTACAAGTAATTGTTCATAGATATGAGTGTTTTAAGGTCGCCCAATAATGCGATTAGAGGAAGTTCTCAGCCGGATCTATCAAAGATTTCCACCGAAGCAAGTGACACCCAGATTACCTTTCGCAAAAGGAAACAACCATCCGATCGTGACTGTGACTGCAAAACAGAAGTGCAGGAAATGCGAAAAGAGATATCACGAATTACTGACCTGTTGGAAAGATTTGTTGGATCCAACGAACAAAATATGACAGCTATGCGTGAAAGTACTACGGAATTGAAAAATGAAATTGCATCTATAAAATCGACTACCAGTGGTGCAGCTACCGAACAAATTGCAATAAAATCTCAGATCTCAGAACTTGAAAATAAAATTTCTTTTGGCGAACAAAAAATTAAGTCCTTAGAATCCGAGATCATAACGTTAAAAACACCTGCAAATTCATCCGTATGTACACAATCGATGATATTAGAACAAGAAAATATTTTAAAGGAATTATTTGAACGCAACAACCGAGAGAAAAATATTATTCTGGTAGGACTGCCTGAACGACCATTACCAAGTACTGATACTCAGCGTCACCCGGATGAATCTGAAGTTCGGAAAATAATATCTACTATATCTAAGGACCTCTGCAAGCCAGCCAAAATTTTTCGTATCGGAAAACAAGATTCTAATAGAAACCGTGCTCTAAAAATTTGCTTCAATGATTGTGATACACCTAAAGCACTATTACGCAATAAAAGTAAGTTACCTACCGGAATTAAAATTTACTCAGATCAAACTCCATCTCAGCAGAAATATTTAAATTGCATAAAGGATGAACTGGCTCGTCGTCAAACAAGTGGGGAGACTGACTTAACTATAAAATACATAAGAGGCATACCAACGATTATAAAAATAAATCAAAAATCAAAAAACTCCAAACATTAAGCTTTGACAAAAAAAACTTGTAACACACGACCTACTATATAACTATCAAGATCTACAAATTGCAACCTCACGTATGAATTTTTCTATGCAAATGTTCGCAGTATATGTCGTGCAGGTAAATTTGATGAATTGAAATGCCTACTGAAGTGTATTAAATCCAAGACACATATTATATTGTTAACCGAGACCTGGATTAAAAGTGAAGAGCATGCTCGTTCATTTCATCTTAATAGTTATACACACTATTACAACCTCAGAACTGATAAAACAGGTGGAGGTGTTTCCATTTTTATACACAATGATTTAAAACATATCTTAAGTGAATCTACATTCATAGATGGGAATAATTACTTATGGGTAACACTTGTGAACTATTCTCTTGAAATTGGACTTATATATAACCCTGGTAATACTAATTATAAAAAATTTATAGATACATATGAAGCACAGTTACAGAAACGAAACCGTATCATCGTTTTTGGTGATTTTAATATAGACTTACTTACTAGAAACAGAAATACCACTTTATACAAGAATCTGCTTCAGGGACAAGGTCACAAGCTATTGAATAAAATTGACCCGATGTATTGTACTAGAGAAACCCATACATCAAAGACAATAATTGATCATGTCAGTACAGATTTACTAAATGACAACTTTCACTTATCAATATTGGATTTACCTATGGCTGACCACAAACAGATTTATTTGCAATTAAAAAAAATTAAACCAACTCCGAAGCAGCGAATTCAATATGACGCTATAAATTATGAAAATTTATTCAAAAGTATAGCAGATGTCAACATTAAGAATCCAGGTTTTGAATACACAGTTCTTGATGACTTAATAAAGCAAAACGTTAAAAACAACAAAATAACAAAGACAAAAATTTTAAATGCTCCACGAAATGACTGGATTAATAAGGAAATAATTAATATTATAAATGATAGGAATGACCTGTGGAAGAAATACAAAAATAACAGAGACAATTCTCGTATAGAAAATGAATTCCATAAAATAAAAGAGTCTGTAACTAAAGTTATTAAGAAAACTAAGGATAGTTATTATTACAGCCAATTTCTAAAATGCACAAATCCAAAGAAAATGTGGAGTCTATTGAAAGAACTTGCCGCTAACAAAAAGAAAGATACCATTGCTCCCACAAAGCTGAATGTTAATTCATATATAATAACTGATCCCATTCTCATTTGTGAGTCTTTTAATAATTTCTTTTCTACTATTGGGTTAAATCTCACTAATCATCTACGTAATAAACAAAACAATTTCAATCTAACCGTACCAAATAACAACATACAAATTATTTTAAATATTCTTAGACCGTGTACAGCTCAGGAAATTTCCCAAATTATTAACAATCTTGACCCAAACTGTAGTTCAGGTATAGATGGCATCACAACCAAAATCATTAAATGTATTAAAAGTCAGATTCTTGATAACTTAACGTCCTGTCTTAATGAATTACTCAGGGACGGCAAGTTCCCTGATAACTTAAAGATCGCCAAGGTCAGTCCAATATACAAATCTGGGCCCAGAGATGATCCGGGTAACTACAGACCCATCTCGGTATTGCCGGTTATGTCCAAGATATTAGCAAGAGTTGTATACACGCGCTTATTAGACCACCTAAATAATATAAACTTTTTATACGAACACCAATATGGATTTAGATCAAAATCTAATACATTATCAGCTACAATTAATCTCATTACAAAAATTAAAACTAATACCGACCAAAGGAAAATTGTCCTTGTAGTATTCATTGATATAATGAAAGCTTTCGACACAGTTTGCCACTCGCTTCTCGTAGAAAAGCTGGAAACGATTGGAATAACTGGCAATGCCTTAAAAATGTTCAAATCATATTTAAACAATAGATCGCAAGTAGTTAAAATTAATGATTGTCAAAGTAAACTCTTACATATCTCTTGTGGAGTACCACAGGGATCAATATTGGGCCCATTATTGTTTTTAATTTATTTAAATGACATACAACACCTTAACTTGCATGGACAGATAACCTTGTATGCGGATGATACCTGTCTCCTATACACTGGTTCATCTGTGCATGATATAATTTCTCGAGTGCAAAAGGACCTTGACTATCTTTACTTGTGGTTTCAATCGAAATTGCTAACTATCAACACTGCTAAAACATCGTACTTAATTTTAAACCTAAAAATGTTAAAATCCCACCACATTCGCCTATAACAATAAATAATGTACCACTAATTGAAAAGAAAAGTGAAAAATATCTTGGATTATATATTGACAATAACTTAACATGGACAACGCACATAAATCATTTAATAACTAAATTATCTTCTTTAAGAGGTTCCCTTAGACACATAGTTCGAAGCCTTCCTCGTGAAGTTCGTCTTCATATTTATAATTCTTTGGCAAAATCACACCTTCTTTACCTTATTGAAATTTGGGGAGCCGCGACTAAAACTAATATTTCTCACCTTCAAATTGCTCAAAATAAAGTAATTAAATTGCTTTTTCATTACCCATACTTAACTTCTACACAAAAAATTTACAGTGAAACAAAACTCATGAATATTAAACAATTATTCCAATATAACACCAGCTTACTAATATACAAAATTCTAAACGACCACATACATACTAACATTACCTTTACTAAAATAAGCCAAATTCAGAAGCGCACTTCACGACGCCCTCACAATCTTGTTATACCGAAGTTTAGAACTAATAACGGTAGAAAAACATTGAGCGTTGGGGGAGTGTTGCGTTACAATAGACTACCACAAAATATAAAAGTGCAGACAGCCTGGCGATATTTAAACTTAAACTAAAAGACCATCTTCTGAGTGATCCTAATTACCTACGCAAATGACAGTCCACCCAAATTATACTTCGATGATTGATCCTTGACGCTTAAACACGACGTGATAAATTGTATTTTTAGTCTATAAGTCTCATGTAAGTGACCATTGTCTGTAATGAGAAAATAAATGTCTTTAAACCTAACACAAGAGATATGAAATATTTCTTAGTTCGGAACAGTTTTTATTGAGAAATTCAATTGTCGTTTTTAGAGTTTTTCTTTACTTATTACGATATATTTCCCATCGATTAAACCTTTCCGGAACTTCCACAAATATTTCAAGATCATAATTTCGTAATTAAATCGATTCAACCATTCCTGAGTTTTAGTAAGACAAGCAAACAGCAACTCATTTATCGTATATATAGATATCCGAGATAATACTTATGAAGATGATATTTCTGATCGGTCC